TGCCAAGGGCGGTTGCCCAACACACAAGGGATCGGAACATGATTGCCAGCAGCTGACAGCACAAAACTGCAGGGCCTGCTGCAATGATTTCATTAGTTCTCACTGGATGGCGCCGTGAGATTCCCTGATTCATGACTTCAAGGTCCCTAGCACTCTTGTGGCACAAAAGCCGTCTCTGGCATGCTGCCTCAACGAACCCACCTGAAACGTAGCCCACTACATGTTCAAGGGATTTAGGAGACAAACAAATTCCACTAGGAGCCCCAACCAACCCATGGTCAAAGGAGTCCACGGATTTAGGAGGCTCTGCACAACATTCACTGCAAAGGCGCCAAAAAGATGACAGCCAAGGATGGAATGTTTGCATTCTGGGCAAAATGCCACTATGCACATACAACTCTTTGACACGATTGTCACTTTCTCTGAGGTCCGGACTCCACCTGGTGGAGAATCTTGAGGAAATCGGTTCAATGTTTTCAAATCCAAAAAATTTTTGGATCCATATATTCGAGCATCTTCGCTGTTCTGGTAATGAGCCAGAACCCCGCGACAACCTCTTGGCGGTGTACTCTTCTATGTCGCCACTTCACACTTCACACTTCTCACTTCTCACTGCTTTCTTCACACTCCAAACTTCACACTTCACACTTCACACTGCGCTCTTCACGCCCCAGACTTCACACTGCACTCTTCACATTCCACACTTCATCTCATCTGAGCCCTTCTCACCTTATCCCAGCTCATCTCTTCTCATCTCATCTCTTCTCATATGTCATCTAAGCTTTCATGAATCACTTCATATCACTTCCCAGTACTACTACTAATCACTGTCGCAGCCTTGATGCACCCACTCCAATACGATTTACGATCTTCAGCTGCAAAAGACAATAGTATTACGCATGCAGCCGCTGCGCCAAGCAACCTTGACGCAGCCATTCCAATGCGATCTGCAAAGACTGAGTTGCAAAACACAATAGAACTACGGAAATTGCAGCTCCAAAACCGGATCTCGACGCCAAAGCGACAAAAAGACGATTTTGAAGCACTTTTTAAAAGGAACTTTAAAAGGAAAATTACTAGCGCCAAAATTGCGAAAATCTGCTGACAAATCACTATCGCAGCCTGGATGCAGCCATTATAATGCGTTTCGAAGCATCACGTCGCTAACCCGAATCTCTCTACGCGCATGGCAACACCAAATGACAACAATCATGCAGCCATTCCAATGCGATCTGCCACCAGAGCTTCAAGAAACGCATAGAACTACGCACACAGGAACAACCACTCGTTGCAAAATACATAGGAGGAACAATTCGCGCATGAAACGACCCCAGCCGCAACCGCCGCACAGACGAGGTACCTTTCATCGCCGGCTGCAGCCACTTTACACGGAAAAACACAAGGTTTCGTGCTCCGGCTTCCTCCCCAAAACATAGCCCATGCAACATTCATGCAGCCATGACAGTGCGTTTCGCAGCATCCCGTAGCAAACCTGCACCTATCTACGCACGTGGCAACATCAAATGACGACAATGAAGCAGCCATTCCAATGCAATCTGCAACCAGAGATTCAAGAACCGCATAGAACTACGCACACAGGAGCAACCACTCGTTGCAAAACACATAGGAGGAACAATTCGCGCATGAAACGACCCCAGCCGCAACCGCCGCACAGACGAGGTACCTTTCATCGCCGGCTGCAGCCACTTTACACGGAAAAACACAAGGTTTCGTGCTCCGGCTTCCTCCCCAAAACATAGCCCATGCAACATTCATGCAGCCATGACAATGCGTTTCGCAGCATCCCGTAGCAAACCTGCACCTATCTACGCACGTGGCAACATCAAATGACGACAATGAAGCAGCCATTCCAATGCAATCTGCAACCAGAGATTCAAGAACCGCATAGAACTACGCACACAGGACACAACCACTCGTTGCAAAACACATAGGAGGAACAATTCGCGCACAAAACGACCGCAGCCGCACCCGCCGCACAGACGAGGTACCTTTCATCGCCGGCTGCAGCCACTTTACACGGAAAAACACAAGGTTTCGTGCTCCGGCTTCCTCCCCAAAACATAGCCCATGCAACATTCATGCAGCCATGACAATGCGTTTCGCAGCATCCCGTAGCAAACCTGCACCTATCTACGCACGTGGCAACACCAAATGACAACAATCATGCAGCCATTCCAATGCGATCTGCAACCACAGCTTCAAGAACCGTATAGAACTACGCACACAGGAACAACCACTCGTTGCAAAACACATAGGAGGAACAATTCGCGCATGAAACGACCCCAGCCGCACCCGCCGCACAGACGAGGTACCTTTCATCGCCGGCTGCAGCCACTTTACACGGAAAAACACAAGGTTTCGTGCTCCGGCTTCCTCCCCAAAACATAGCCCATGCAACATTCATGCAGCCATGACAGTGCGTTTCGCAGCATCCCGTAGCAAACCTGCACCTATCTACGCACGTGGCAACATCAAATGACGACAATGAAGCAGCCATTCCAATGCAATCTGCAACCAGCAGCCATTCAAGAACCGCATAGAACTACGCACACAGGAACAACCACTCGTTGCAAAACACATAGGAGGAACAATTCGCGCATGAAACGACCCCAGCCGCACCGCCGCACAGACGAGGTACCTTTCATCGCCGGCTGCAGCCACTTTACACGGAAAAACACAAGGTTTCGTGCTCCGGCTTCCTCCCCAAAACATAGCCCTTGCAACATCATGCACCACTCCCCTTCATGGTTGCCAGTTCCCTTCCTCACCACTCCCCTTCATCATCACTTCCACTTCCCTTCTCACCACTTCCCTTCGTCACCACTTCCCTTCCTCACCACTTCCCTTCGTCACCACTCCCCTTCATCACTTCCACTTCCTCACCACTTCCCATCGTCACCACTTCCCTTCCCTTCGTCACCACTTCACCCTTCATCGTCACCACTTCCCTTCCTCACCACTTCCCTTCGTCACCACTTCCCTTCTTCACCACTTCCCTTCGTCACCACTTCCCTTCGTCACCACTTCCCTTCGTCACCACTTCCCTTCGTCACCACTTCCCTTCCTCACCACTTCCCTTCGTCACCACTTCCCTTCGTCACCACTTCCCTTCCTCACCACTTCCCATCGTCACCACTTCCCTTCGTCACCACCCTGTGTCATAGCTTCTTATTCTTTTGTTGTGTATTGTTAGATAATGTATTGTTCTGTGATCTACCACCCTTCATCATAGTCAATTGCATCAAGTAAAAGTCATTCGTAACTCGGAAGTATTGCTTCCCAACTTCCTTTGATGATTACTTAGCTTAGCTGATTATATACGCAGGTTTATAACCCCATCTAACTGCAGCTATAATATGTTATAATCACCATCCAGCTGAGTTAACCTAATTTGTAGCACCTTTAGTGCACTGGGAACCACCTTGAAGTGGTCTCTGCCAGGAAAACATGACGGAACATGGGATACACCACTGGCTATAGATATGGGTGTTTCCATAAATGGGGTAACTAGCAATACCACTATAAATGGTGATTTAATGGTGATTCAATGGTGATTTTTTATGCTCTTACAATGGGTTAACAATGGTGAAGAATGCGATGATGTGGGATTTACCCTCTGGTAAACTAACAGAAAAGGGATTCCATAAAGGGGGAATCCCCACTAGTTGGATGGTTTATTTCATGGACAATCCTATTTAAATGGATGATAACTGGAGGTACCCCCATTTCAGGAAACCTCCATGTTGCTTTCAAAAACAGTCCGCAAAAATGTCGTCAATCTTTAGGGATGTGCGCAGGTCTCAACTTTGGATGTGTACTTGGTGGCTCATCCCACTTAGTTAGTGGGTTTTTACCCCAGTTATAAGTGAGATAAGTAGGGTTAATCAACTTATAAATGGGGTTATAAACCATTTACTAAGTGGGACGAACCACCAAGTAGTGTTTCATCTATGTTTTTCGTGAATAAGAAGTGTAATCACCTGGGTTGTGTTCATCCTTATCTGTAGGAGTCATACCATCTGGTTATGACTAACATAGCCATGGAAAATCCCTCATAAATGGAGGTTTATAGCTGGGAAATCATCTATAAATGGGCCATGTTCCATGGTTATGTTAAATAACCAGAGGGTAGCTATGAAAAAAATCACCGTTTCTAGTGGGTAATTTATCAAAAAACATGGACCATGTATAGCATAGTTGTTGAATTACCAAAGGGTACTGTCTTGTGCCCTTTCATCCTGCTCTGGGACCCACAAAACTGGTCTCATTGCTCATCTCCGTGACCTATGAAGAAGCCTTCTGGTCATCGCAAGGGAAAACAGCCAGTCCAACCAGGGGATCTATCAAAGCCGATATATAATGATATATATATATATGCACATGTATATCTAATACCCTCCGGTAATTTAACATAGCTATTGAACATGGCCATAGAAATAGTTGATTCACACATTAAACATGTTGATTTTCCATAGTTATGTTAGTTTACCAGAGGGTATATCCCATTATCATCGCAGTATTCACCAATGTTGAGCCATTGTTAAACCATAAAACATCACCATGAAATCCACCAGATCATCCACTATGAAACCATCATTAACCATCATTAACAATTGTTAAGCCATATTATCCCAGTTATTTCCATGGGATATAATGGACTTACCCTTAATATATCTGGGTAAATTATAATATTTCACTAACCTGAATTAAGCCCATTTGGGGATGATTCCCCTTATTAACCATGATTCCAGTGAGGTCGCAGTGAGGTCGTTATAATTTACCCAGATATATATAAGTCGATATCATGGACTAATCTGACTAATCCAGATTCTGCCAGTAAATCACCATTAAATTCACCATAACAATAGTGATTTTATAATGTTTAAATATGTTTAAATCACAATTTTCCGATGGTTTTCCTATGGTTTATCACCATATAAATTCGTGTTGCAGTGCCCGTCCAGATGCCAAAAGCGAGCCTTACCACCTTCCGCGAACCTCGGTTCGCGTCAACATCAATTGTGCCATAGGAAAATGGTGGGTTTACCATAGGAAAACCATAGGAACATGATGATTTAACCACTATTGTTATGGTGATTTAATGGCTTAACAATGGTGATTGGATGATATGGTAAACTACCCTCTGGTAATCTTACGTAATCTTACATAGCTATGGAAAATGGATGGAACTTGCCCGTTTACAAATAATTTACCTATTGAAAACGGTGGTTTTCCATAATAATGTTAAATGACCAGAACGTACGCAGATTCACTGCCCAAAAAAACAACCTGTCATCTGAACGATAAAACCATTATTGCCTGTTTCTTCTTTGCCAAACCAAGGCTCTTTGCACATCCAAACAGTTCATGGCTAATCTTAGATACCCTGCACTTTTAAAAACGGGTTAGGCTAACATATCCCCATCAAAGTGGCAAACACTATCCTTCAGCAGATGGTCCACCCTATGTTTAATTCCCAAATCCCAAACATGTTGATGCAAACTCTTCGCGCAAACATAGTGGACTGGATTTGATTGTAAAACTACCTCAGCCTCCAGTAATCAAACATGGTTTGCTGGAAATCTCACACCATTCAGCTCGATGTTTTTCGCAAGTATAAATCACCATTTATAGGGAATTTCCCCTTGCCACGTTTGATGACTTGTTAGGCATGATTCAACTACCACCAGTCGTTTGACCCAGAATACTTCAACCAATTGGTGTTATGTATATATATATATATCAGTACACTATTTATATGTACATAAAAACCCCAAAAGATAGAAGACATGATGATTTACATTTTCCATCTTTTTTTGGGGTTGCTGTATATTTGATATATATATATATACATGTAAATATACCAAATTGCTGGGAATTGAATTCTTAAATGTAAAACCAGTATATGGTTGTCCCATTTTAAAATGGCTAAAAACAATCCCTACAGGATGGTACCTCCCAGTTATAAGTTGGTTTATAACCCCATCTAAATATAGTTATAAAGTATCATACACTATTGTTATTATAGTTATGAGCCAACTTAGCTAACCTGGTTGGTGCTGTCAACCCCTCTGAAAAAATATGAAAGTCAGTTGGGATGATTGTTCCCCATATATGGAAAAAAACCAAACCACCAATCAAGTGCTTTTATCAATACCTGGTATTTTGCACCTATTTTGCACCTATAAATCCACCATTAACCATCATTAACCAGTGTTAAACCATATTTTCCCAACATTAACCAACTTAGCTAACTTGACAGGCCCCATCCTTTTTCGAAAGTCGCAGCCATTTTTTTCAGAACGAGGCACACCACCACCAGGTCAAATCGACTCAGCAATGGTGGCGGCAAGCCGCTGTTCACCGCCACCGAGGCCTGTGGCGAAATCCTTTTTGGAATGATGGCTATCTTTTCAAACCCACCATAAATGATGGTTGATATGGTTGATATGGTTGATGATGGTTAATGATGGTTAATAATGGTTTTATTAACAATGTTAATGATGGTTAATGATGGTTAATAAGAACTGTTGTTTTATACAGTTAAAATTAATAAGTTTGTTAATAGGTTTACTACCTGTTGTGTTGTTAATATACTGTTAATATGTGGTTAAAATATATGGTTACCATGTGGTTAATGATGGTTAACCATGGGAATAAGGAATAAGATTTATATGAATCCATGATATAACATATGAATATAATATACACTAACTATATATATATATATTCCAATGGGAATGAACATGAATATCTTACCTAACTTATATGAAAATGAAAATCATAATACTTGGTTATATAAGATGGGCATTCCAATTTTCTTGGTTTCATCACGTGCATCTTGAAATTGAATAGGAACATATTCGAAGTCTTTCAACAAGTATCTTATCCCAGAAATATAGGAGGTACCAACCATTTTATGGGAACATGTGCTATCTTGGGATTCAATGGGATGTAGAAACGAGCTGATTCATTGACATTTGGCACTAATCGGATCATCCCACGAATAGGTCATAAGAAGTACCAAACCAGATTTGTTCAGTCGGCTCCGGGTTCCTAAACTTTGACCACTACTTAGGTGGTTCGTCCCACTTAGTAATTAAGTGGTTTATAACCCAGTTATAAGTTGACTAACCCTACTTATCTCACTTATAACTGGGGTAAAAAAAAAAACAACACTAACTAAGTGGGATGAGCCAACAAGTAGCTAGTGATTGGATGGTGATCACTTTTTGAAGAGTTCGAGAAGCCAACATCGAAATGGACTCTCCACATGTTTGTTGAGTCGGCTCCAGGTTCCTAAATTTTGCCACTAACTAAGTGGGATGAGCCACCAAGTAGTGGGGTATTAATGGGATTTACTGGCATATTACTGGGATATTATGGCATATTACTAAAATAACATTTGATGAATATCACCAGCAGTAATTTTGCCACTAAGTAAACCCCAGTTATAAGTTGATTAACCATATTAACCCTACTTATCTCACTTATAACTGGGGTAAAAACCCACTAACTAAGTGGGATGAGCCACCTACAGTACACTGCTTCTTGGTCAGTTTCCGGTCCTGCAGGTCATAACTGGCGCCCTGTTTTTTGGCGCCACGACCTGATAGCACTGATAGCTGGAGATGAGCGAAGGGAGGGTGACACAATGAGAAATGCTAAGGCTTACCAGAAACAAATGGGGGATTTAAACAAGAACAATGGCTGGTTGGTGGTTGACCTACCCCTCTGAGGGATATGAGTTCGTCAGTTGGGATGATGAAATTCTCAATATATGGAAAAAGAGAAAATGTTCCAAACCACCAACCAGATGGGGATATCGGATAGCACGGACTTAAACCAGTCAACATGGGGATATCTATGTTCTGTGGTCGGCTCCAGGGATGGCCATGGTGGTTGTGTCTCATGTGCGCCTCAGTTATGTTTGTTGCTTTAACTCAAAATTATGTTGTAAATAATACAAACCAAAGTTAATCTAGTTATTGGCACCAACTTAGCTATCATAACCAGCGGCCCCATCTTAATTGATGTTGCAGTTCTCTCAAATGAACAAAATCGATGTCACATATACCTGGGGACATTCCACAAATGGTTGCTACATGTCAATACCATGGTTCTTAGGCAATTAAAATCTTGGATGCAGCCCACAGTAGTGAACCTGTTTGTTGCACTTAATCGTCGTCAGTCCAAAAGTAGTTCAAGGTTTCTCAAATGGCAGGGCTGCTCACTGAATTCTTCTGTGACTTGCCGATGGGATGAGAATCGATGATCTGGATCTTCGAAATCAACGGTTGCTTCCCCTCTACCCTAAACATACAGAAAACTATGGAAAATCACCATTTTGAATAGGTAAATCAACTATAAATGGGGTATTTTCAATAGCTATTTTGACATAACCAGAGGGTAAATGCCACCACATGTTTATCAAGGTATGATTAAAAACTTGCCCAAAACTCAGCCAGGTTATCCCCATGCATGGGGCAGTGGGAAATTGGATATAATTCGCCACAGTTGTAAGTGCACAATACCCCGGCTTATGGGAATCATTACCATGGTATACCATGGTTATATTTGTGGAAACAACACCAACTGCACCCCAGCCATGTTTGATACCCAGTCTTACCCATTGCATCCCAATTATACCACCATTTTGGTACAGTTTACCCACCATGTTTGATGGTGAAATCACCATTTTTGTTGGTTCATGTTGGCAACCTACATGAAAAGCCAAGACTTTCGCGCTTACATCGCCCGAAAATGGTTTGGCGTTCCTCAAAATGGTGGCGCATGAAGCACCTAATTGCAAAGAATTTTGCACCAATGCAAGGCTTGGAGATCATTGGAAATCAGAATTTACGTTGGCAACATCACCATTTTAAATGTTTGTTGGCCAAAAATCACCATGGTTTCCTACGGTTTCCTTTGAGTTTTCCTAAGGTTTCTTGTGGCTTTTCCTATGGTTTCCTATGGTTTTTCCTATGGTTTCCTATGGTTTTTCCTATGGTTTCGTGTGGTTTTTCCTATGGTTTCCTATGGTTTCTTGTGGTTTTTCCTATGGTTTCGTGTGGTTTTTCCTAAGGTTTCCTATGGTATCAGTCATGTCTTTTTTGCGACACTGAGGATACCCACAATTCTGTGCTGCCACCACGCTGCAGCGCGAGCGCAGGCGACATACCAAGCCTCAGCTGGAGCCACCATGGAGATGTGTTTGTATGATAATAAATCACCATGAAGAGAGAGATATATATATATAATATGTAGTATCATAGTAATAGACATAATATATAGCATCATAGTACTTGGAATATATATCCTAATAAATCACTATATATGTATATACTTATCATAATATATAGTATCATAGTAATAGACATAATATTACCATATGTACATATAATATGCTACAAGGCTCCGGTAGTTTATTCAGAAATTTATCAAATCAATGGGAATTTCAGAATCCTAAAATGGAGGTATGTTAGTACCATTTTTCAAACCATATTTTGTGGGGATATTCCCTGACATTTAGGCCTAAAAAATAGGCCTTATATATGGTAGGTGCCTCCAATTTAGGTTCCTGAAATGGCCATTGAATAATAAAACATATAGTAAGACAAGTAATAAGTATCGATATACACATCATGGAGATAATGTTTCCATATATACTAATACTTATTGGATAAGTAATAGTAAAACACCATGAAGATATATGTGTGTGTATATATTTATCAAAATATATAGTATCATAGTACTTGGAATAGACATAATATTACCATATGTATATAATATACTATCATAGCATATTACAATATTACCAAGTGCATAGTATTATACAGTAAAACAAATGAGATAGATCTATTTAGTAGTAGATAGTATCATAATATTAAGTGTATACTATATATTTAGCACATGGAATTATAGTTCATATATAACATACAGTATTATACTAATAATACAAAATATGAACATACAGAACCAATATAGTTGGGTGTAATATGGTGTAATACAATACATTATATATACATATACACCCTTGTTCTTATTCGGTATAGTATAGACTCTTATTGTGTATATATATATACACACCTGTGTCCATCTATCTTTTTAGATATATAAAAAGTAAACATACATACAAACTGATAAACATAAATATTTTCAATAATCCACATATTTGCTATTTTTGCCGTCCTGAAACAAATATTTTTGCTCATAGATATTGGGAGTCACTTGATGTCAACTTCTGGATCGTTGGTGCTAGTCCAAGGGAATGGCTGCGAACTGCCATTGGGAACCGCAACAGGAATATTATAGAATATATCTGTATCCACTGGTGTATATTAAGCATTGGTGTGTATATGTATTTAACCCCTGATCCTACGGTCCTTTGCATTAACCACTTGTTTTAATCACCATGGCTCTAAATATAATATGCGAATATATGCAAGTCCTATAGTCATTCACTCACTTAAAAATCTGGCCATTGTATGCAACTATGTTGCCCCAATCCTAACTATATAATCTGACGGTTGGCTTGATGGGTGTCCTTTTTCTTGGTGGATTTCTCGTCGGAGAGGTATCCACTCATGGAGGAGCCAGTGTCAACTTTGGTGCATGTGCCTGGCAATCTTCGGAGACCTGCATGTGGCGATAACTCCGGAAGCTGGCCCTTGCCAATCCTGTGGAGAATGGGGCTTGTGAAGCCGGGTCTGAAAAATTTTATCAAACACCATCTATCTATATCAACCTCCTACCATAATCCTCATGAAACGCGATTTCAAGCTATGTTCGCATGAAACCTATCTAAGATCATCGAAGCAGTTAATCGTATGATGGATGGAAGAAATCCTGCGCCAGTTGGGAACTATTAGGTACCTATGAAACACTGTAAATCATAGAATTGTAATGGGATAAACCACCGTTTTCAACTGGTGCAGGATTTCGCAACCATCCACAGTATATCACAGTAATGAGATAATATTTCCATATGTATATATATATATACTATCATTGTACATGTATATATATATATATTAATATTACCAAATGTGTATATTACATCTTATCCCACTAATCACTGTTTTCTTGACGAAATTCCGGATGCGCCATGTGGCACTACACCGAGCCTCGCACCCGCTTTGGCCACCGATACCGTCTGCTGCTCCATCGCCTTTGGGTACGAACTTGGGGACAGGTCCATGACGCGACTGATGGATGATGACGACCTTCTGGTAATTTTTGCATAGCTATTGAAAATGGTCACTTATCACTTTTAGTTGATTTACCCATGAAAAAATGGTGATTTTCCATATATGTTATGTTAGTTTACCAGTTGGTAAGCAATAAAACAAGTGATTTGCTGTGGGCTTGTGAGATACTTGATCGGGTATACATTCCCACAAACAATAGAGATTATGTTAGTTTCTAATCAATCATTTTAATCGATCATTTTTAAACACGGCTATTTGACTATGGTATTTGCTGGGATATAATGTGTATATAGTAGGTAATAATGGGGATATCAGGAACAATCATGTATGAAGCAGTGGTTAAGAGTTTGTTAATGATGGTGAATGCAAGCAAAATTGACGGTTTATCAGCAAACGATGATGTGTACATATATATATATATATATATACACATGGAACAGTGTCAAAATTACAATGGTGACGTAATCCGTACATAATTGTTAATCATCAACAATGGGGTCAATTGTAGCTAAGAATTGTTTAATAGGTGGTTGAAATTAACGTTTGGTTAATAATTTGATTAAATGTCATTAAGTGGTCAATAATTGATCAATGGGAAAGTAGCCTACAATCTTGGGGCATAAGCAATACGAATGGGATACACTAGGGATGTTTATGGAAGGTATACGGGTGTTTGAAAATGAATTAACCCTCAAAACTGCCCCCAATCTGGTGATTTAATTTGGGGAAGCTCTGGGGATATCTGATGCGAAATATGAGAACAAACATGTAATACCCAATGGATTGGTTTTGGTGGGAAAATCTACAGGAAACCATGGTTTTGCCATCAAATAGAGGAGCTTTCCTGCATTTTTTTCCCTTAAACCAATCCATTGAGTAATACTTGGGTGTCCCAAACTATGATTTACACCCAAAAAAAAATCACCAGGTGGGTGACACCAATGCCAGCCGCTGCCAGGGTGTTGACTGCTGCCGTGGCTGACTGGCTTGCTGGACCTCCTCCTCCAGCTGTCTGTTCTCCTCCCTTTCCCTCCTCCTTTCCTTCTCTCTCCGGCATTGGTGCCGGTGTCTGGCCTGGTCGTCTGGGAGCCCCATATAGTGGTCGCACCTGGACTCCAAACCACAGATAGCACCGCGTCCGCCAGGGCGCCAAGACCGCTCAGGTTTCCCTCGGTGAAGTGGGTACAATTCTGATCACATCAACTTCGGGGTACAAAGTGGCTGACAAGGATCATGGCATTCCTTTCACTCAACTGATCCCCTGCTGGAAGTTTTGCTTTGAGTGGGATGTGTGGTAAGCCATGGCAAGTACGTCTAAGCCCTTCCAGCCAAACAAACAAGATTGTATGCAATAAAAAGGTTGGGTCAAACATTTTACATTGTGTAACTATTTCAGATCACTTCTCATTTGCCCGTTTGTTGTTATGTTGAACATTGACAATTGTGCCTACGGGTTGAAAACCGAACCAGCGTTTTGCATGTTTCTATGTCTTTCATGGGGTTAACGGGGTGGGGTGGGGTGAGGTGGGGTGATAACGTTCATTTGCACTTCCTCACATACATGATGCAACTCCACTGTATGTCGTCTTGCACTTCCTCACATATATGATGCTACGTTATTGTACGTCGTCTTGCACTTCCTCACATATATGCTACGCTAGTTTACGTCGTCTTGCACTTCCTCACATATATGATGCAACGCTACTGTATGTCGTCTTGCACTTCCTCACATCTATGATGCTACGTTATTGTACGTCGTCTTGCACTTCCTCACATATATGCTACGCTAGTCTACGTCGTCTTGCACTTCCTCACATATATGATGCTACGCTAGTGTACGTGCTTGGCAGTGGAGATGGGAAAACAGTTCCCACAAAAACCTCTCCAAGCTCACTGCAGAAATTGTGAAGAACATTTAGCGCAGAAAAAAAGAGAGTGCCGCTGAGGGGTTTTACATATCCAGTGAAAAGTACGCGCGTACTTTTTAAGGAAATTGAACTTTGAGAGAGATGCAAAACCACTGTGATTTGTGGAATGAAATCAATGACGAACACTGCAAGCGTTGAAAACACGGGTTCGATAAACAACCCGCCGGGACAATTGTGAATCCTTCGCTCAGGCACCCACCAACCTCGCGACAGTTTGCTTGTAATGAACTTGGTAAATTGACTGAACTATCTTGACCTGCCACCAGTAATGTCCTTTTGGTTAAAAAAAGAGGGGCCGGTGACTGGTATCCCCTCTATTGATCAACCAATGGGAAATTGGGACATCTATGCAGTCATTGATCAAATAATGATACCACTATTCAAACACCCTAGATTTATAATTAGTAGTATTGCTAGTTAATTACTAACCATCATCATATAAATCATCAGTACATCACCATAGAATCACCATACAATCACCATAAAATCACCAAAAAATCACCATTTATAGTGGTATTGCTAGTTCCCCCTTCAGGTTGCCATTCTTTTTTATTCTCTTGTGAATTGGGGTTGTTCCTCATTGAACCGGCCTCGTGCACGGCAGCCTTGTCATGACTGCGAATGGTGGAGAATTCCTGACGCTCGTTGCGAGGGACGGTCGAATGGATCAATGGATGACACGGTATCGAAACGTCTACACAAAATTATTAAAGTGACACGACAAATACCAGGACAAGAAAGCACATATCAAACTTCTGCGGCGTGATTCTTGGTTGTGCATCCCAAATAGTAAGTGGCTTACAACCTATAATAAATATATATATATATATACCTGGGCCTTCCAACTCCTAAAAAATATCAGTCGTTTTGCACAATCACGCGTTTCATCAAATTTATGGTCGTATCGAGCGTTTCCCCAAAAAGTTAGGCGTGGTATGTCATGGCTGTGTTTCCCATCGGCATGGCCCTCCTCCCAGTCTTCTCACCAGTATTTTGCTTTCAATCTGCACATCCAAGTTGGTTTCTGTTTAATTGCGCGCTCCCAAAATTATACAAATTTACCAGATTCTTGGATTTGCGGGCGTTTGCGGGTTTTTGCGGGCGTTTTGCGGATTTTTGCGGTCGTTTTGCGGGTAATTTTGGGCGCAGTTATGTGCATTTATATGCGTTGGTGCTCGGGATATGAGAATGGTCTGGTATGTCCCTGGGACGCAGGCAGGGTGCAAGCCATGTTCAGTCATATTCAAAATGTCACTTGTGGTGATAGTGTGGCCACTAGGAAGCAAAACCAGGCAAACTAGTAAAATTAGACGAGATTCTGAAAACTGGGTCATTTTAGGTCATACTCCAAAACTACCAAAAATAATTGATCGAAGGAATGTTCAGGTATATATATTATAATATTATATATATATATATATGTATGTATTTACTTATTTAAATCCCAGAGTGTAAATTCACCCGAGTTCGACTTCTGAAACTTTCAAAACAACCAAAGCAAGAGGTAATTATAAACTTATACCAGTTTCATTGGTAAAGCATTTTTCAAACCTCCATATTGACGAAGAACATCTCGAATTCTCATTCGTTAAATCACCATGTTCCTATGGTTTTCCTATGGTTTTCATATGGTTTTCCTATGGTTTACCACCATTCGCCCCAAAAATCCCACCGTTTTCACCGCCAGGGCACGTCGATGCAACAGACACCGCCATCCGCCAGGACCAAGGCGCCAGCCTGACCGTGGAGCCAGATGGAATTCCATGAGGTGAGAAAAGCCATGGGAAAAAGATGGCAAATAAATGGACAATCATTGTTAATCTATGTTAATCTATGTTAATATGGAAAATTCATGAAAATTCCATTAATATATGCGTTAATCTTGCCATAATAGATGGTTAATCTATGGTTAATCTATTCTATGGTTAATAACAATCTATTAAATAATCTATGTTAATATTGGGTTAGAAATAATGGTATCATGTTTCCGCATTCTCCATGGTTCATCTATGTTAATCTTGGGTTTAGAAATAATGGTATCATGTTTTCCCAACCCAACTGTATCCGAAGTATACCCCTATAAAATTGTTGGTAAAGTATGGTGCCCCCTAGTTATGTTTATTGGTTTATAAACCCCATGAATACTATAGTTACCATCTGGTTATTTAACATAGCCATGGAAAATCCCTTATAAATGGAGGTTTTCATGGGAAAAACATCTGTAAATGGGCAATTTTCCATAGCTATATTGAATAACCAGAGGGTATATCTACCATAAACCATAGTTATTTCAGCTACTTTTTTCAGGCAACTGAACGCGAGCTCAACTGGGGGCCCCTTCCATAGTATGGTTTCCTATGATTCCTGTAAATCAGCTATAAAATACCATTAACTCCACATTTCTGTTGGTTAAATCACCATTTTCCTAGTATTCCCAAGGTTTCCCACAGCCTACCCCCATTCCCTGCGGCTCTTCCAGCATCCCAACAAAAAAATCGCCTCGAGCACCCAGTCTGCACCATCACGTACGGCCGCGCACGTGAGCCTCGATGTAAATCATCAAACCAAATGGGACTGAGCCACCCCTCTGAAAAATATTGGGAAAATGGTAAACTCCGTGAACTGCCCCGGACCCCCTGGGAGCCCCCAACCCTGCGCTGGTACAACCAAGGCCGCTGGTGCGCACGCTGCGCGTCAACTCTTGTGCAGCCTTAGGCGGCGCGGTTGATGGCGCTCCAAGACTCCAGAGATGGGGACCGGTTTTAGGGAGTGTAAGGTGTGGCCCCGGGTTTGAGTCTCGTTGTTCACCACGGAATGGCCCCATATCGTAATAGTTTGCAATTCTTCTTCAAACACAAAGTTCCTTAGGCAGCAATTAGATGTAATTAGTATTATATAATATATATTTTTTGAATGTTTTTGATTCCACATTTCCTTTTATGTGCCTCCATGATGTGGATTGAGATTTGTTCCACTTGGGCCTATCCGATACTGTGTTTAGAACCTCCCGTGTCGGCAAGAGCTCGATCAAATCATCCACCAGGAGACGCTGTTCTTTTTTTGTTGACCCACAAACCCGGGGCTGGTGCCGCAACAAAGAACGCTGGCTTAAACATCAAAAAAAGCGGTACAATAGGGATACAGATGGGTACAGTACAATGGGTGTGTGATGGAAAATTGGGTTTTGACCATCAAAACTTGGAAACTTGTTGTATAATGGGAATAGAATGTGATGATAATCCCTGCGGGCACTTTTTCATAAAACATGATCGATTATGCTCACTTTTTGATAATCCCTGCAAAACCTTGCAGCCGACCAAATCGATGAAGTTCTGCACAATGCTGCTTGCTCGTGGACGAATTGACAGGGGTCGTGCATCCAACATAGTCACCGTCGTCTCTTTGAGGTTCTGCAATTTTGTCAACTTTCCCTGCATCAAAACTTCCACATCCGTCCATTTCGTACATGGAAACGTGTCACCTGATGCTTGAAATTCTTCAGAAAGTCGGGAATACACACTTGATGCTATAGGGCCTATAGGACCCCAGACGGTCAATTGTACGACCACGACCATCGTTGAATCTGCAATACAGATTAAAGTCTATTTTTAGTATTAACCATCCAATAATTGGGGTATCTAATTTTGACCCAAACCCATACAGTATCCCCCAAAAAATAATGTCGACTCATCCCCCGTCTCCCCTTCTACTTATCTACTCCCGTCGCCGGCGTCGGCTCACCCGGCCTGAAGCAACTGCGACTTGCCGGTGCCAGGGTCGCCCAGCAACAGGAGGTGTGGCCTCGGAGGAGACCCGCGGCCAATGTCACGGCGTAAAGCGTCGCGGAACGCCGAAATTCCCGAGGAAAAATGGATGATTTAACCAGTGACAATTGTGATTTCACCAGCTAAAATCATGATTTTACCAGCAGACCATGTAATTTTCACCATGAAACATGTTGGTTTAGTATGATTTACTGTCATCAAACATGATGGGGAAATGATGGAACATGATGGGAAGATTCATGAATTTGGTGGATCTACCAAACTAAAGATACACAACCCAGACCCGAAATGTTCCTGGTGGGTTTGTCCAAGAATGGATGATCCCAACAAACATGGCAATATAATCATGGTCTAAAGAACTTGTTATATGATTTTGGTTCAATGTTAATAATGGTAATAAAAAACCTGGCGTACATAAACAAATGCCCTTGATTATACCATACCATATACTGTTTTGAATGGGAATGGTGTGTCATCATTTTCCCTATTAACATTGCAACTTGGGGTTTCGTACTTTCCCTATTTTCATGATACACCATTGGATTTGGGGTGTACCCCCTATGTTCAGACAAAACCATGTATGGTACAGTATATGCTTACCAACATGTGTCCCACGTAAAGCCCATATGTGAGAAACAAGGCCATCCATGGAGCATTTGGGCAACACAAACACGAAGGATGCGATCAGCAGGTAACATGGGGAAAACAACACCAACGACAAATGGGTGAAACAAAAATTTGAACAAAAAACTACCCAAAACACTGTAAATACCGCGATTCTTGCCACCAGAAGCAAAAAATACACGTAAATACCGTGGTTTTGGGGTTCCGAGGCGCAAACAACATCGATATTTACGGTGTTGTTTGCTCTCGGAGTCTGAAAAAACTGCGAAAACACCACCTATTTGGCGATTTTCGGCCACTATGAGGATGAGAAAAAAACTGCAGGGGTAACAACAACAACAACAACAACAGCAGCAGCAGCAACAAGAAGAAGGAGAAGAAGAAGAAGAAGAAACAGAAACAGAAGAACAAACACAAGGACAGGAAGAACAAACACAAACATGCGACAACAAGATGTGTGGTAAGATGGTTACAAGCTGTGGCATGAAAAGAACATCACACAGTGCTCTGCACCTGCGCGCACGCGCAGAGCACATGAACAACACCAACTCTCACACTACTATACATAACCCTTATGGCATCGCCGGTGTGCGACACTCTACAATAAGTATCACCCGGATCTTCCCTATATCTCATAATTATTGATGGTATGACCACTATAGAACCTTAAGTAGCTCACCATCAATAACAATGGTCATAACATCAATAAAAGATGTCCCCATGTAGGTTCTATAGATAACCACCATGATCATCAATAACAATGGTCACCTCATGTTATCCCCATGATCTTCCCAAGATCCGAAAAATGCCTGGGCCCGCCCTACGTGGTGCGTGTGTGCCGCTCTTCCTTCGCCGCTCGCGCTTCACCGACCTGGCGACGGTCTCCACCAGCGGGGTGTGGCCTTCTTGTAGACCTCCACATCCTCCAATGGATTGCCTAAAAGTAGGATTCTCAATCGCACGATGGAGCTGATTTCCTGACGGCAATTGGGATCATAATCATCATCCCTTTCTAAAAATTAGAAGATATTTGAAACCACCAACGACCTAGCCATCTTGGTAGGTGATAAACTCCGTCATAAGCTTGCGATTCATGGGATGAACTACCAAGTATATGGCAAGTTTATTGCCAAGGATGGATTTATAGCCATTCACAGAGCAAATTTATGGCAGTTTAATATTATCTGTTAATTTCAAAACTGTGGCTAGTGATAGCCATCTATTTGGAAGCATGTGGGACACCCTCTATATCATGGTATAGACATAGTACTAAATGAAAAGCCCATCAAGCTACAGACATGTCCACCACAAACATCTATAAGCCTTGGTGAACTTATGCAACAAATCACCACTTGATGAACAAATCCATCACCATCGTAGCTCACTATTGTTTCTACATCGCATTGTTGATATCATCACCACTACCCAAATGCTCCATGTATTTGCCCACATTTACCCGAAAAATCACCAAGTTTTGTAGGTAAATATACCAGTACCATGGATCATAATATGGGGATACATGATTTTCCCATGTATAAACCTCCATTTTTTACGGCATTTCCCCAGCTCGCCATGTAAAATAACTAACCTGTCATGTTACCACCGTTCCATCGCCTCACCGTGGCCGATGGACACGATCGACCCATCAGGCCTCAGCCGGCAGCTACTGTAATAGCTGTTAACGTTGGAGGTTGACAGAAAATACTGGAGATTTAAGCAGGAAAAATCTGGCTTTAATCGTGATGAACAACTACATATAGATAATCTTGGAGATTGCTTTGGCATTCCCCACGAAGGCTTTTCTGAAAAAGTGATTCATACTAACTATTCTCAATTGTTCATTCCCACAATAATTGGACATCAACCAACAAAATGCGCCCCCCATGATTCAATCTGGTCGGTTGTTTTAACCCATTCCCCGAAAAAAAAATATATTCATCTCAACCAATCATGCCAAATATGGTTGAACGACACTGGATATTTGAAGCCCCCAAATCAATCAGTAGTTTCAAGAATCCAAAGCAATCGTAATTATATAATTACACTCAATATACGTAAGAGATACCCTCCGGTAATCAAACATGGCAATGGGACATCCACTATTTATAGATGTGTTCCCCCTATTTTCCAATTGAAGCCTCTATCTATACATTTTCAGATAGCTACGTTTGATGACACCGGGCTATCTATACCTTTGGATTGTTGGTTTTTGAAACTGCCAACAATGAATCTCAACCGCCAATGAATCATATGAATCCTGAGTATCTGGACTGGCTCTTTTCCGAGCCCATGAACCTTGCGGAGACGATCTGGGATCGGATTTTCATGGATTTTCCCTCAGGATTTCCCAGAGGTTTTGCCTGTCAAATCCCAGCCCAGCTAACTCCTCCTGGAGGTTTAAACCACTAAAACAGTTGGATGGGTTGCTATAGCAAGCCAAAAATAAAGAATGCTAAATCTACAACTTGGTTTAGTTTAATTGTTCTATCTAGTTTGGGGGGTTCTATACTTCCACTAGATCCAGTGGTGCACAACCCATTCAATCTCCATTATAGTACTTAGTAATCCCTTCTCTCTCTCTCTCATATTAAAGCATCCCCAAACGAACCCTGACAGTAAGTATTGGATTTCTTCAGTTTGGGGATCATCAAAGGGGGGCAATTTACTATCTGGGTAAATTAACCATAGTAACTATAGATAGATGTATCGTAAACCCAACAGCTTTGGGGGAGCATCGAAATGGGTTATTTAAGAGAAGATGGGAGTACTGATAATTCTTTAATCATAATTCACAAACGTCACACACCTGACACTGAAATAAGGCCTTTTGGGAATGATTCCAACCATTCCGAAGTTTGACATACATGGGTGGTATAAACCATCAATAATGGGCTCGTTTATTATTGCGGTTTTAACCACATTACAAGGTGGTGCCCCCCTTCAGTTATAAATTGGTTATAAACCCATGAAAACTATAGATATATCAGCTATAAACCATAGTTATTGGAGTTATTTGCAGCAACTGAACGCTATCGAACGGGGGCACAACCGACCGCTTCATTCCCGTGCCTCCCCCAGCGACCGGCGGCTGACTTGGGCTCCTGCTCCTCGGAGGCCTCAGTCGTCGGGGTTATAACCTACTTACTAAGTGGGATGAGCCGCCAAGTACAAAATGCAAATAACAATGGATTTCATGAGTATTAAAGTATAACCGTTTGTGATTTAATAATAATAATGATAATGGATATAAACATGATAACTCATGTTATAAAATGGTTAACACGTGTGTGATGTCATACTTTTAAATTTCAACCAAGAAATAATCGACGAGTTTTAAGCGCAATGTAGCTCTAGCTTTCCGCTGGAAAGTTACTTGTATCCTTATCTTACTAAACATTGATGCGTTAAACTTTGATTTTTACCAAGCCTCAATTCCAATAACCACCTGCATGTCAGCACTTGGATGATATCCACTAGTAGCACTATGTACAAGTGCATTATCAATCTCATGAACACCCCCGCTGTATGGTTTATAATACCTCTTCAAATTTGCTCAAGATATGGGTTGACCATTATTGATCTTATAAATACCTGTTCTTGATCAATACTCACTGGTATAATTGGGGATGAATATAACTACTTGTACTGTAACCTCTAGTTGCTAATTGTATAATTGGGGATGGTATAATTGATCAATACTAATTGGTATGATTGGTGTGATTGATCAATACATGTTTGAACAGGCCCCTAGTTCACTATTGATCTTGACTGCTGCTGATGACCATCCCCAATGATCGCTGTGTAAAGAAACCCCAAACATCTGGCTATAAATCAAGTCATTCGGTACAGAATGGGCCACCCCCAGCTATGTTTGTAGGTTTATAAACCATTATAAATATAATCCCCATTAATTAACTATTTTTTATATCTACCATAAACCATAGTTAAGCCACTTATAAGGCAACTTAGCTATCTTGGGGGCCCCATCCTGTACCCCAAGAATTGGATTGTCAATAATGTGGGTAAAACAATAATAAACAACTCCATTTTTGATGGTTTATACTATACCAACCATAAAAATGGTGATGACTGGGGGATGGTTTATGACATCGTTTTAATCACATGACCAAACATTAATATACACTACGAGTACCCTCTGGTAAACTAACATAGCTATTGAACATGGCCATAGAAATAATGGATTTACCCATGAAAAATTGTGATTTTCGTTTTTTGTAGCTTTACCAGAGGGTACTCATCATTCATCCGACCAAAATCTCTGATCCCTTCGCTTCCACAATGGCTTGACCCAGTGTGAGGACCTTGGCAACAGGTGGGTCAAATCACCAGCTGCCCCCGCTGTTGGTCAAATCACCAGCTGAAATGCCAATTGAAAACCTATCCCAGATGCTATCACCATGGTGCTGGAATATTTACCTACAAAACTGGGCCATTTTTGGGTGAAATGTAGGTCAATATTCCAGCACCATGGTGATAGCATCTGGGTATATTGTGTGGGGAATGAACATCCGTTTACTAGCTAAATTTCATTTGAAGATGTTTTGAGCTGGTTGATTCCCCACGATTTCATCTCCATTCCGCTTGACGTTGAACGCATGTTTTGTCCCCTAGCCTACACAGCACTTCTGGCATCGCTGGCATCACCGGTGCAACCTTTTTTTGGTGCCGGCGATGTCCTCTATACAGCGGGTCTTTGGGTAGTGGATGTTTCTATTGTACCCTCTGGTAAACTAACAAAAAGATTAAAAAAAGCTATTGAAAACTGCCATAGAAATAGCGGATTTACCCATTAAAAACAGTGATTTTCCATAGCTTTTTGTATAGTTTACCAGAGGGTACCCTCTGGTCTCACGGTTTGGGAAATCCATGGAAATCCCCTGTTTTTCGCTCGGGAAATCATTTCTGAAAAATATGAAAGTCAGCTGGGATGATTATTCCTAATATATGGAAAAATAAAAAATGTGTCAAACCACCAACCAGATTTTATAGATGTGGTCTTTTGACAGTTTGCTATGGAAACCGTGGCTCAGTTAGATGTTGTTCCATAAGAAATACCTATTAGATATGGTGATTTTCAACCGCCATGTTAACAGAGTGACGATGGGATCACTGATGGATCTTTGGAAGGTCGTTGCGATGTTTCCAGACCTACTGCGACATGGCTGTGGCTTAAAATATCCCGATGCTCCATACATGGAATATTTACCTACAAAACTTGCCCATTTTTGGGTGAAATGTACCCTCTGGTAAACTGGCATAACTATGGGAAATCACCATTTTCAATGGGTAAATCCACTATAAATGTTTCATTTTCAATAGCTATTTTGACATAACCAGAGGGTAGGTAAATATTCCATACATGGGGCATCTGGGATAGAGGCCTTCCCCCAACATGATGATCAACCACCGGATATACTGGTTGGTAGTTGCAATGTGCCCATCTTGAAAAATGATTGACGACTCGTCCATGGGGTTGGGATGACATCCCATATATATATATATATATGAAATGGAAAATAAAAAACATGTTCCAAACCACCAACCAGTATCTTTAAGTTTTCTTCGCTAGTTTTTCAGACACATCCATATTTCCCAGTTTCCATGGAAGCGCGACGTGGCCGATCTGACGCACGCGCATGATTCGGCATAACCAACATCCCGGCTGAACTTTCATATGACAACCAAAAGTTCATTGTCATCCGATACCCCTGGTATTGAACAGCCTCATTCTATGGTCCCAAATCTGTGTAAATCCCTGAAATTTAACCGTGATTTTGCAGGGTGTTTTGTGTATTGGGGAGAAGGGATTTATCCAGAGATGTTTGGAGCCATGGCAGTACTGCACAACCCAAACCTATGGCCAGAAAAGCCAGAGGGAGTTATAACTTATAACTTATAACTAATATGAATCATTGGGAAATAGTTCGTGTCGGTAAAACAAGTTCACAAACCATCCCCCAGTCATCACCATTTCTATAGGTGGTATAAACTTACCATTCCCAGTCATGGGTGGTAAACATGACATGTTTTTTTTCCATATACCCAATGACCCAACCTAATCTACGCAAAGAATTCATCACCTCCGACCTCCGACGAAACAAACCAGGAAGGCGGCGTGTTTTGCTCCGTCCACGGAAACTGTGGACCCCGAGCTGCACATGAAATGCTTCGGGACATGAAATGCTTCACTGGGGAGTTTGTGGATCCCCATTCAAAATCAATGTGTGGTAGGTATTTTATCATCTAAAAGTTAAAACTTGGTGGTAACATCCCAAGCGATTACCATCTAATCCCCATTTCATGGTGTTTAACTTTTGGATATATGGTAAACACTATCTAAACCATTCAAAGAAGTTATACAAGTGCACGGTTAAAGACCACTAATTGGTTGCCTGTCATTGCCCAAAACCCTTAGCATTTTGGCAATGTCCAGTGGGGCATACCCTTCAAGTGGCAATTCAAATAGGGAGATATATATATATATAGGGATAATGATGATTGACCAGTGCGTTAAGGCTTTCCCCAGCTGGTTGGTGCTTGAGCTACCCCACTGAAAAATATGAGTTCGTCAGTTAGGATGATGACATTCCCAACTGAATGGAAAGTCACAAAATTCCATGGTTCCAAACCACCAACCAGCCAGCCTTTTCAGGAAAATAAAACACATTTCAGCAGCCATGGCCATTTCCGCCAGGGTGGCATCAGCTTCCAACGGACATGGTTTGCGCATTGGCATTTGACACCTCTGCCTCTGTCGAGTCCTGCTTCCCTCAAAAAAAACAGGTACAAGGTGGCCCCTCAGAGATAGGTAAGTTGCTTTGTAACTCACCTAAATATGGGGCTCTGGTGGAGAATATGCAATCTGCAATTATATTATATGATATTATGAGATGGGTTTATAACCAAATTCCAACTGGAGTTGTCTTTAGTAAATATGGTGTTCAACCAGTTTTTCGCAGTGCTGTCTGGGCAAATTGTTCCAAAATCAGAAATCGCCAATTCTGGGGTTCCCCCAATCCGAACCACCATGGTGAGGTCGAAAAGTGAGGTAGTTGTCATCTTTCCATATCATCATGGCATATTTCTGGGTAATTTTTTCAATATTTCACTAACCTGAAACTTGCGGCCATTTTGGGATGATTCCCCTTAGCCTTACTGACCATGATTCCAGGGTTTTCTCCCGAACAGGGTTCGGTCGTAATGAAATTTACCCTGACATTTTTGTTGCCACCAAGTTTTCCATCAACCCGTTTTCCATGAACCATTCATAGTTCATTTCGCCAAGCAGAGCCAGACTTTTCGGCAGCGGATTCAAAAGGGCATGCAGCCGCAGGACTTTTCCCCGCGGCTCCGGTAGTGTGTTACTACCTTGCTCCAGCTGCCGTGCTTGGAAACTCCAATAGTTGACCCTCTATGACTAACATAGCGAACTGGAAAAACCACATCATTTTTCGATAAACGATAAATTTATATAGTCCTATCATTTATCAATGGGTCATGGCTTCCATAGCTACAATTAAACAATCAGAGGGATGGGAGCGTCGTCAATGTTTGAAATCATCGATCTTTTGTATATCTCTATAGTTTCCGCTCCAACTGCGATAGACTCAGATGTCCACCATTGCAGATCATGTTCCACCAAAATCATGGACTTTCCATATCTTTGTTGGTTTACCTCAATTGCCCATATATCTAAACCTTCAACGACCCGCACAGCGCAGTCCTCTTACCCAGACAGTCGGTAGCAGCGCGTCGCGGTAGCCAAGGTGCCACGGATTTGGGTGACTTTCCGTAGGCCGTGGCGGCCGTGGCCATTATGCTTCGTGGTATATCAGACAGGTCATAAGGGTCGTTTTCTAGGTTTGTTTGTTGGTAAATGTTCCAGCATTTGCGATGAATATGGATGAATTGTCATATTGATGTGGAGAGATCACTGAATCACTGAGACTTTGATTTTTTTTTGTGTGCTTCGCCACTAGTCGGACAATCCCCGGGGGTATACAAGACCATGTGGAAAACCCATGAGGAAAGCCGTGTTTCATTAGCCTACCAAATCAAGGATAGCTTTGTCCGGCCATGACCCTTGACACCCAGCATTTGTTTGGCTGGCTAGTATTCCCATTTATGGCAAACAATTACAGTATTTAAGATACCAAGGCAGCGTTTATCAAGTCAGAGCAAGCAGACATGGCCAATCTTAAGTACTCTGAGACCCATACCAAGATGCTGAAGAGCTCGTGAGATCTAGTGAGTATATATCCCCATTTATGGAAACATATTGAAGATTCTTAAAGTTTTAAAGTGCTCATCCAAGATTTATCCAGTCAATATCACTCCCTCTTTTCATTCTGATTGGCCAACAATTCCCCTTAGTTTCCAATGTTATTCCAATTGTATCCCCACATAAACAGAACTCTGGTAATTTAACGT